CACCAGCCTGCCCCTGCCACACACACTGTAGCGTGGACACACCTCAACCCCGCAGATCGGTGTCCCCATTCCAATGCACTTGCTTCACTGGATTTAAAAGATTATAGGAAATACACGAAATACATAGAAATACATTTTTCAAATACAGCAAAGCATGACTGTGGGTTCATAACTCATGGTTACTAGAGCAAGAAGAGAGTTTTCCTTTTTTCTCTTTCAAGTGCACTTCGGGGGCATCAGTCGACCTCTGGCCAGAGTTCCATGAGTGGTGCATGTGCTTAAGGGCAGAAGGGGCAGGAGAGGGGTAAAGAAGGGGTGCAGGGGGATGGCTGATCTCCCAGGTCACCCCAGCGCAGACCGGCAACACCATGCCAGTCGCCAATTCTCTGTGACATTCATGTTTGACTCTTGGCTAGGAATGAGCCCCCAGCCTGGCTTACCTGAACGCTGGGGGCTGCTCTCTTGTCCAAGATGGCATGAGCATCAGTGGCTGCTGTCCTCTGGCCACAACAATGGCTCTCAAACTTGGATATACTTTAGAATCATCTGAAGGCTTTTATCACAGACCTCCCCACCAAATGCTGATTGCATTCGTCTGGGAAGGACCTGGCTATCAGCATCTTTAAGTGCTCCTGGGGGTTCTAAGATGCTTCGCAGAGCAAGGAGATTCAACTGTTGCCTGGATTTCACAAGCAGGTTTAATACGAAGCCAAGAAGCCTGGCTCAACTGCAATGACAAGGATGACCCCAAGGACCTGAGGCTCATATGGAGCATGTGGGGAAAACAAAGGCCCTAGCAAACTCTCCCCTGTCTGCTGACAGCAAGATCAGTGCTCCCCCAGAACTTGGCACTGGAAAGATGCCCAGAGGCCACCTCCTCAGAGACCCCCAAGGGGTTCTTCTAACCTCAGCTTGTACAGAAAAGCCCCTGGTGACCACTGGACACTCCCAGGCCTCCCCCCTGCCCAGCCCTGCCTCCTTCCACAGCACTGGAGCTGGGGCCTCACACCCTTAGAAACACAGATGCCCTTTAGCCTTTCTGTAGCCAAGTGAAGTGCAGGCTTCTGGGGGGTGCACTGAAGCCCCCCCCCCCCGCTCCTACTTATCTCTCCAGCCTCATTGCAACTTCCTCTGCCAAGTGATATTTCACTGCACAAGGGGGAAGGGTGCAGTGGATGGTCTCGCTCTGCTCCTCCTCTGAGCCACAGTGCAGTGGTCAACAGCAAGGGCTACGGAACCACCAAACGCATGTCCCAGCTCCTCCCTCCCTGGCTGTGTGACTTACCAGGTAACCGGCTCGCAACCCGATTTCTGTGAGTCTGAGAAGCAGCAGCTATAAGACGGAAGGGAAAACTCTGCCTAGCCTGTAGGTCAGTGCGGTTTCATGAGCCACCCTGGGCAGCTCCATGGAGGGGAAGATTCAGAAACTGTCCGTAGTGAGCTGCTACAGTCCCCGTCTCCCATACTCACGGCTCCCTTCCTCCCTCTATCAGGTTGTCTCCCACCTGGAGCTCTTGCTCCCCTTCCCATGCTTCTCCATCTGCCCTCTGCAGCCTGGATCTGGTTCCCAGCCCCTCCTCGGGTCTTCCAGAAAGCCCTTCCAGATTGTCCCAAACTGCAGTTTCCTGCAGAGAACTCCACAGGTCCCCAGAGTTCTGATCTAATGGAAGACGGAGACCCTAGAGGCACTCCACGCCCTAACACGACAACTCTAAGTTACTCTAACAACTTTGTTGAGTACTTAGCAAATGCCACATAACACCCTTAGCCTTTCCCACGACTGGAATTTAATGCAATAATCCTACATGGTAGATATTATTTTTTAATCCTCCATTTTGCAGACAGAATAAATGAAGGGATTAAGTGCCCTTTGCAAGGTCATATAGCAGGTGAGGGGGGCTAGGGGCTCAGTGTCTCATATCCTTCTTCCAAGGCAGTGGATCCCAGGAGTTGAGGGTACAGAGTACCCGAATACAAGTTTCACCTCTGCATATTATTTAACTGTCTCTAAGCAAGGGGCATAACCTCTGTGGGCAGCAGTTTCCTTATCTACAAAATAGGGGTGATAATAGAACCCACACCTAAGGAGCTGCAGTGGGAGAAAAAAGCACTAGCACAATGCCTGGCACATAGTAAGTCTATATAAATATTGACTATTAATATGATCCATCTCACCCACTTAATTAATAGAGAAGATTCTGAGGCACAGAGAAAGAAAGGGCCATGGAGGTGACAATCCAGCTAAGCCCTCAGTCTCCTCTTCTTTTCCACCTGCTGGTTGCCTTTTGGCTGGGCTTTGTCCTACAGAGATCACATCTCAGCTTTGTCCTATAGAGCCCCACCCTATGACTCAGAGGAGGAAGATAGGGAGAGGTAGGAGAACCCCTCTTTAGGCAGACCATGGGAGGGTGTAGACTCCTCTCTCCTTGGGGCACTCAGAGTTAGAGGAAAGCTTGCTTCCAGGAGACCCCTCCATACCCTGCCTCTTGCATGCCCAGCCTGAATGCCCCTTCCTCTTTGAAGCCCTCCCTGATTCCACCACGTCCACTCACCCTACCCAGCGCAAAGTACTTTCTCCTGAATTCCCACAGCATCAGCTCCACCTCTGCCACGGGCATGACGTCTCTGAAGTAGCCAGGGCTGGCAGGGTGCAAACCTCTGTCTCTACCGTCCCCTGCCTGTGGCCTTGCCCCATTCTACCCAGGCGAGACACTAAGATTCCAACGTGTCATATGAGTGAGTGAGCAAATGAGTGGGTGAGTGAATGAATGAGAGTGACTGAGTGAATGAGTGAATGAGTGGGTAAGTGGATGAGTGACTAAGTGAGTGAATAAGTAAATGAGTGGATGGGTGAGTGAATGAATGAATGCGTGAGTGAATGAATGAATAAATGGGTGAATGAATGAGTGAGTGAGTGAAGGAATGAATGAATGAGTGGGTGAATGAGTGAATGAATGAATGAGTGAATGAATGAGTATGTCAGTAGATGAGTGAATTTGTTCCATAGGCCTGGGGTCCCTCACCCAAATCCAGGTCTGAGGGGCACCTGTGGTCAGCCTTGACTCACAGGGCCCCTGGGACCCTCAGCCAGACCCTCCTGATAGCCCACCACAACCCACCCTAATTCAGGGTTCCAGACACAGGGAGGTACCCTTTCCCCTCCCCACCTCTTACTGCTGGGGTTCCCTCAGCCTAGAATGTTCTCCCTGCTTGTCCATCCTTCAGCTCTCATCTGCCAGCAAGTGCCTGCTTATCCCTAAGCTTCGCTCAAGCGTTTCAGCCTAGCTTCTCATTGGAATGGCCTGGGGAGACTTAAAAGATCCTGACTACAACGGACAGTGGTGCTGATTTAATGGGTTTGGATTGTGGCTTCAGCACATTTTTCTAAAAGCTCCTGGTGATTCTAATGCGCAGCCAGGTTTGAGAACCAAGGATCTGATTTAAATACCACCTTTTCCATGAATCCTTGCCCACCTTCCCCAAAGAGAACTCCTTTCTTCCTCTTCTGAGCATTACCTGGTGGTGAGGACCCCCTCCCACCTCGCACTGTCCTGCCCCCTCCTGGGAGGGTGTCCAACCTTAAATCCATCTCACTCATGCCTCTGAGAGGACACCCCTGTGGCCAGGCCCTTGTGTCCTCTCCCAACCCAGGGCTCCCCAAACTGCTGTGCAATTAACCAACACGCAGCTCCCCAGGTCTGGTCCCCACCCCACCTCTACCCTTCCTTTCTGGATGCTTCTCACTACACAACCCCAAGTGTATCTGAGACCCGTGATGAAGGATCTTCCTTCATCCTCCCCTCTTCCCATCCCCTCGACTAGAGGTTTGGACCAGGTACCCTTTTGGTCTCCTGCCACTGTGTGCCCATCTGGGCCCCCTGCTTCAGCTTCTCTGGGTGGTGGGACCTAGAATCCACTTTCGGCCTCAGTTAAGACCGAGCGAGAGCTCGGCCCAGAGGGAGAGGCCAGCATGACCAGGAGCTTCATTACCAGTTAATGCTCACTGACTGTACGGGGAGCTCAGCCCGCAGGGACCATTACATTTAACTGGGCTGCCGATTAATCAAGTATTTAAACAGATGGCGCTCAGAAGAGCTCCTCAGAAATGGGGAGGATCCAGAGGGAAAAATCAAGCCCTCCAGTCAGGGAAGGGAGCCCCACCCTCCAGCAACTCAGGCACAGTTGAGGTTGGCAAGGCCACCAGGGAGGCCCCGGCCCCAACTCTGCAAGCTCCCACACACCCCACTCTGTGGGCCTGAGTCTGCAGGAGAGGCCTTACACAGAACTCTGCTTCTCAGCCAGGGTCCCTGCCATGTCCTTGGGACACTTGGAAAATGTGCGGAGGATTTGAGGTCATCAGTGGGATTGGGGGTGTTCTGGGCATCTAATGGGGAGAGCTATGATTGCTAAGTGTGCTGTCGTGCATGGCCCCATCCAGCTCCAGGAAGCAGTATCCTCCCCTCTCCGAGTGCTAACAGCAGCCCCAGGAGAACATTGCACCTAGCAGGCTTAGGAATGGGGTCCCTGCTGCAGCCTTGTTCTCTGGCTTCTGGTGGGGTGAGCACAGGAAAAGGGAAATGACCCCGCAGTGCCTGCCCTGGGTTAACCAGGTGCTCTCCAACTCAGCCACTGGCGACAGCTGTGTCCCTGTTGCCACCAGGCCCAGGCTGCTTGCTAACAAGCTCTCTAATAGCCACTCCCCAGCCCAGACACCAGCCCGCTCCCAGCCCCCAGGGGATCAGAGGCGGCCATGTCCAGCCGCCCAGAACAGCCTCCTCCAGAATGAGGCATCTGGGGTAGGATGTCCCTGAGGAGGGCAACCCCAAGGTCACTGCCCAGAGCAGATCCAGGACTCCATCACCCTGCAAGGTTTCCAGAAGGACCCAGGTACCTGTACCCTCCACCACTCTCTACAAAATGGCCAGAGGCCCGGACGCCAGTTTCGAAAGCCTGGCCAGGCTGTGCTGGGAACTCGCTGACATCCTCAGCACCCCACTCACCTGGGGAGGAGTCGTTCAAGCCCATCAGGTCATTCGCCCTCTGGATCTTCTCCAGGCACATGGCTTGCTCCTTCTTGAAGATGCAGTCAGAGTGCATGGCGGTGGCCTGCGAGGGACACGCGGGACACATGGGATGGATGGGAGGAGCAGGCAGGAGGTTCACAGACAAACCCTGCTACCTAAGCCCCGGAGCAATGTGGGGGGTGGGGGTGGGGCAGAAGCAGGGAGAGGATAGAGCCAGAGAGATTTCGGGGCCAACAGAGGCCCCAAATATCATGAGGGCTCTTCTTCACCAATTCAACATGTGGTCATCAGTGGCTTCCAGCCTTCCTTGGGTCTCAGTTTCCATGTGTTATAATAATATTAACAAACACACATGCAGCTCCGTCCTGTGCGTGTGCATTATTCTGTCTTACACACACACACACACATATATACATACATATAGCTCAGGAGCTCTACAAAGTAGGTGCTTTTCATCATTCTCCATTCAACAGATGTGAACCCTAAGCACAAAGACGTTAGGTAACTTTCTCAAGATCACTTAGCTTAGCAGATTGTGCAGCGAGGACCAGAACCTAGGCAGTCTGGCTCCAGAGACCAGGGGACTAGCACTGTACTTCAGGAGAGCAAGCAAGGGTGGGAGAGAGAAGGGGCTAAGGGAGCTCATCCTCTCTCCCCTCCTGGGGCTCAGGAGGCGTGCACCCCCAGGTGCTGCGGGCAGAGGAGCACTGGTTGCATTCAGCGAGACCTACGAGCTGCTCTCATTCCCTCCTGCCCCCATTTTACAAAAGTGGAAACCAAGACTCAGAAAAATCACACGTTCCTGCCCAAGGTCACACGGCTGGTTAGTGGTGGGCACTGGATTTAAGCGTAGGACCAAGTAACTTCAAAGTCCATGAGAGCTGTGTTCTCGTGCTAGGGCAGGGACGGTTCCTCGAGGGGACGTCTGTAAGCATGCCTGGAGGGGAGAGTCCTGGGCCCTTACCATAGGCAGCAGGAGGAAAGCAGCCAGGGAGGCTTGCAAGATGCTGGCCATGATTCTTCTCAGTCCGGACGGAGACTCAGGCCAGCTATGCTTGCCTCCCGCTCAGAGCAGCCACTCGCCAGCCCCACGGTGTCTATGGGCTGGAGAGAAAGGAAGCCATGAGTCCTGTGGGTCCCCTGGCAGGGACAGGTCTTCCTCCTGACACCCCCCCTTATCTACAGCAAGGCTCTCGGCCTATCAGGTAAGCCCCTCCCTGCCTTGGTATATGCGTTCCTTACTCCTCTAGCAAACAAATATCCACTGAACACCTACGCAGCGCTTGGCACTGGGGATACAATGCAGGGCACAAGGGCTCAGGACCCCATCAGGCCATCAGAAGGGTCTGCGTGGCTTTCTTCTCTGTAGCAGACAACTGTCTCCCCCAGCTCCCTCCACTGTGACAGAGTTTTCGCCAGCATTCGAAAGAGAGACCTAGAGAGACCTAGAGAGACCATAACTCATTCCTTCCCGCTCACAGGTGCCGGATTGTGACACAGGCCCCACCTACGGAATACAGGTGGGAGGGACAGGTGCCACCCGCAGACCCCCGGTCCACGAGGCAGCACCCGTTCTCCACTTCTGCTCTTTTGCCCTGCCTGAATGCCAGAGCCAATCCCTGGGCTGTGGGAAGCCCCACACTGAGAGGAACGGGATCACCGTGAGCGCCCCACCAGCCTGGGAGACCACCCTAGCTCCCAACTGCCATGTGAAAAAGAACTGCTCCTTGACTCCCGTGCCCACCACAGAGCATTGCTTCATTCCAGCTGCCGGGCCAGGGCTGCTTAGACGTAACCTCCTTCCACTCTGCCTTGGCCCACTGGGCCTCCAGGAGAAAGCAGTGGTTGCTGAAGAGCGTGCTCCAAGAAGGGTAGGTCCCTGAGGACGGGGGCTGCCGGTGGGGACCGGACAGGGGACCGGAATCCAGCGGGGAGGGTGTGGGGGCCCTGGCACATTCCCGAGGGGGAGAGTCTGGTCTGCTTCTAAAATCGATTGTTAGCACACATTCCCTTCACCCCAGCAATTCCGCATCTGAGTATTTATCGAGAAATACTTGCACTTGTCCGAAAAAAAGCACGTGCAACGGCAGTCACTGCAGCATCACTTAAAATAGCATCCACAGCAGAAAAAGAAGCAACCCAGCATCCATCAAGCAGACCCTGTTAACAGGCCCCAGCAGCTATGCAAGGGAACTCCACACAGTAATTTAAAAATTATTATTCGCATTCCTATTAAATTATTATTAAAAGGATTCAGTCGGCCGGTGTCAGAGCCCCCACCACAGGTGCCTTGGGCTCAGAGACCCATGGCAGGGGGTGCACCCCAGCCATTAGTCTCTACATGCCCCCCACTCCCTGGGCAGAGCTGCTGTGGCCCTCATTCCTTTTGTGCCCCTGGCTTTTTGCCACCCATGTGTCCTCCCTCCCTCTCCCCTAGCGTCTCCAAGCTCACTTTGGTGACCAGCAAGTACCCAAAAAGGAGAAAGCAAACGAGCCACAGGATAGCTCCACCAAAGGGGGACCCTGTCTTACGTACCTGTTGCTCTACTCCTCAGGGTCCACTCAGAGATGCTGAGGAAGGCCTTGGGGGTCCCCAAGAAATGCTCTGAGAAGCCCAGGGGTCCCTGAGGATGCTGATGCAGGCTTTCCCCTGCGGGTCAGGAAGGATGGGCAGGCTGGGGGAGCTCTGGCCCCAGCATCCCGGCACCCCGAGGCACCAGCTGTGCCAGACTCTCAAGCCTGGGTTTCTATACAGGACCCTCCACAACTCTACTGGTCATGGGCTGCTTCTGGCATGACCAGGCACTGCTGGTCCCCAGGGGGCTCGGTCAACCCCACTCTCCCTGAGGAGCCTAAAGCCCTGTGTGCTGAGGCTGGAGCTGACCCTCTGACCCACCTGGCTGGGGCAGAGGAATGCCCGGCCCCCTGCCCACAGCAGAACCTGCAGGCTGTCTCTCTTGGCCAACGGAGGGCTTAGAGAAGCCACTGCAAGGCATTGAAAGCCTGAGATCGGCAGCTGACTCCTCCCTACCTGGGACAATATCAGGCCAAAGGCTGGTGAGATGTGAAGTCAGGTGGGCCCCCACCCACGACCATGCCGGGTGGCTCTGGAACCTTTGTCAGCCCATCTGGCAGGGCCACCAGCAGCCTCAGCCCGCGGGCGACACCTGGGCTCCGGCCCCGGCACCCAGCCACAGTCTAGACCCTTGACTTGTGTGGGTCTCAGCAGTCTTAGCCAGGAGGAAGGTGACTCCTCCTCTCAGCTCCCTTCTGGCCAGCAGGGCCCAAACAAGAGCCAGAGAAGGAAAATGGGTACACAGCCTGTGTCACCAAGTGGACACAGTGCTCTTTCCTCAGGGGCCACCTCTCTTGTGCTCCCAGCAAGGTGCCACCAGAAATAGGGCCAGTGGCTGTCTCTGTCCCTTGGGGGAGACCTCTGCCCTGGGGCACAGAGCAAGGTTCCTGGAGAGGACATGTGGCAAGAGCACTCAGCCATGAAATCGGGGCTCCCTGCTCTCAGCAACACCCTGAGATGGCAATGGCACTACCTGCCTCCTTTAGGACGGGGATCCCGCAAATGGAGACTTGCCGCCCCCTCTCTGGCCCCTCTTAGCCCACACTCAGCCCGGACCACCCATCAGAACCACTGAGGAGCATTTAAAGATACCCCCGCCCAACTGAACCACTACCTCTGGGGTGGGGGCCCGGATATCAATGCTGGTTTTGGCTCTCCAGTTAACTCTCACGGAGAGTGGGATTTTAAAATCCCCATTTTGACCTTTATTAGAACTCAGAGAGCTGGCCTGGGAGAGCAAGCAGCTTTCATGCCTCTGGTTGCTCTAGGGGCAAGTGGCAGCAGCAAGCAGGCAGAGAATGAATCTGTGTTTGAGAGCTGGCTGATTTCTGATTATCTCCTCTCTCTCTCTCTCTCTCATACACACACACACACACACACACACACACAAATACACAAATACATAGAAACAGGTCCACAGAGAAGAGCACAAACAAACGTCAACCCCACAGAGTCAAAGAGAGACATTTATCCCCAGGGTGCATCAGTGCCCTGACAGGCATGGAAGACACAAAGGTAGAGACCCCTTCAGGGGCCGACAGACAACTCCGCACACACTCACACACACCGCCCTTCACGGAAGCACAAACGCACACGCAAAACACAGAATAAAGACACGTACAGATGCAATCAGACGGCGGTGCCGGGGTTCACCTGCGTTCGTCCGATCCCCGATCTATGTAGTAACACACACCCGAAGCTGCAAAGGCATTCAGACACACAGAGGCAATGAGATACGTCTGGACTCAGGCCCGGGCGCACACACACACATACCCACATACCCACGCGAGCACGTACACGCTCACGCACTGGCACGGGGACGCCAGACTCGAGGGATGCCCCTGCCTGCTCCCAGCAGGCCCGCTGCTCTGATGAAAAACAAGCCGAAACAGAGGCCCCCGCCTGACCATCCCCCAGCTCTGCTTTGTCACTAGGCTGCTTGGGCCATGAGGGGAAGCAGCCCAATGACGCAGGTGGAGGGGCTGGGGTAGGCTCAGCTCAGGGTCTCATCTGGAGCTAGACCCGGGCTCCCCATGCCCACCGCTGCCCCCCCTTTTTTTTAATTAAGATATAATTGACATATAACATTATCTTAGTTCCAAGCACACAATGTAAGGATTTGGTATTTGTATATATTATCATCACAATAAGTCAAGTTAACATCGTCCCCACACGGTAACGTGATTATCAACATGAGAACTCTTAAGATCTAGTCCCTTAACCCACTCTTGCCTCTTGTCTGCTCTCCCCACCACTCCCCGGCCCACTGGACTCACCCGCGAGAGAGAGCGCGGGAGCTCTGGGGCCTTGATCTTTCCACACCCCCGCCCTAGCTGGGGACCTCAAGGGGTCACCTTCTCTAGCTTCTCCAAGACGATAGTCTCCTCAGCCCCTTCTGGCATTTCTGCCCGCCCTGCTGTCCATGCTCTGACACCTCCCGGCCCCATCCTAGTTGCACAGCGCTCAGAGTTTATGGCTGGAGACCACCTGCCCTCGAACCTGCTCCCCTTGTGAACTACAGGCAAGTGCCCTGAATGCGCCCCCTGGGCCTGCCGCCTGCAGCCCAGCCAGAGGCTCCTCGTCCCCCTTGTCCTGGCTGCCTTCCTCCTCAGCACTCCCCCGAAACGGCCAATGGCCCTCGCATAGGACAAGGCTAGGCATGGCCACTGAAGCCTGTGGTTGGGCTCTTGCCTGCCCGGCCCTTTCAGCCTAGCCACGCAGCTGGCGCAGGACGACCTGTCACCAATATTCTTAGGCACACTGTCTTGGGTCCAGGCTCTGCTGGGGCAACTGGCTTTTACAACTGATCTGAGAACAATTAAACTCGACTCCCCGGCATTTACAGTGATGGGCATGGAGACCATTCTGCTGGAGTTTTAAGTCTTAGCCCTTCAGACAAGCCAGTTTTTCCTGTGCCTCAATTTGACTGTCTGTAAAATGGAAATAACAGGAACGTCTATGTCGTGGAAGTAAACTACGGAGTACACAGCACAGCCTGGTTCCCAGTAGGGCCGTGTGGGGATTAACTGTTATGATTCTTACTACTATGTTCAGGTTTTTGTACCTCTTGCTATCACCTCTATCCCCATAGCCCTGTATCCCTTTCAAAATGGCAGCAGCAGGACCGCTGCACCTTTATTTGCTCAGGACTAACATTTATTAGACACTCAGTATATGCCAGGCACTCTTCCAAGCGACCAATTTGCATTAACTCCTTTCACCTGCCCAAAACCTTGAAGCAGTTACTAGCATTATCCTCATTCTATAGCTAAGGTAACTAAGGCACAGAGAGCCCAAGTTACTTCTCCAAGGTCACACAGCAAATATGTGGTAGAGCTGGGAAGGGAACCCAAGCAGGCTGGCTCCAAAGCTTATACACTCCATCCTTACACTCCTGCCATTCTCTGTCTCTCATAAAAGGAAGATCAGCTCAGAACTCATTGTATGTTATTAGTGATCCTTCTCACACCTTTGGGGATTGGTCAGACCTTCTGGTACCCCCTGCCCATACTTCTACATCTGAAATATCTTCCTTGGAAAGAGTTCATTATAGACACACCATTTTAAACCTGAGATAGACTTTCAAGGCCATCTTCCATTATTACTACTGAGTTGCCTGTGGGGAGACTGATGCCAGAGAGGGGAAGATAGATCCCAAGGTCACACAGCCCAAAGGACTGGAGCCCTGCCTGGCAGGAAGGGATGTGTGACAGATACTTGGTCTAGAGGGGAGTCTGCTCCCCCGTTGACACTCGGGAGGTCCTCTTTGGGCCCCACCAGCCCAGTGCCTGATGGCAGCAGGAAGAGAAAAGAGCAGCCGTGTGCTCCTGTGAGCCACTGCACCAAGCAGACAGGAAGACAGCATCATCAGTCAGCACACCGGAGCCAGCGGTGACTCACTGGGCTCCCAACTTTCCCCATGGAGTGGGAAGGGACTCTGACACCTTCCAGTCACTCCCCAGGCTCCACAACCTGCAGGACACTTTCTGCTGCACCCCAGCTAGGGATGGTCCCGCCCCTGGGATGGGGTGTCACCCCCCTCTGGTGGCTGGTCCAGGGCCCTCAAGGGAAAGCTCTGATATCTTTCCACCATGTCCTTCCGGGCCAGCTTTTGCTGGATGCCCCTGCAGTGAGAGGATAGCACTCCACCTTCCCTTTCCCTTGGGCCACATAGCTCTAGGTGCTTCTTCTGCCCTCATGGGGCTGAGGCCAGCCAGGCTACCCCCTACTGAGCTCCTCAGGCTACCCGGCATCACTCCCTGTCACCAGGCAGTGCCAAGCCTAACACGAGACAGATGACCCATGAGAAATGGATCACCAGCTTCCCTTGCTCACCACATACTCCTTTTTAATGCACCTAAGCAGGCTTGTCCCCCACTTCCTCCTCTCCCTCCCAGGGCAGGAAACCAGGAAGGGAGACGGAAAGATAAAACGTTACCCACCCACCCCACCCCCGCCAAGTTTACTCCTCAAAGGAAGGGAACTACACTTTTTTTGGGGGGGAAGGAACAGGGAAACCTCTAGAACCTCTTTCCTCCTCAACAGGGTCAGAGCTGATGAGGGACAGGGCCTAATGCCTAGGTAAAAGGCATCCTGTCAGTGGCAGGATTAATCATTAACACTGATGGGCCTCTGGGTGTTCAAACCTTCCCCTGCCAGAGCCTGGCCACTGGGGTCCTGTGCACAGTGGGTGACAAAACCCAGGTCCCTGGAAGGATCCCTCATGATTCCACCCACAACCTCCATTGGGACATGTGGGAAACTGGAGCTCAGGGCAGGGAAGGGCTGGGCCGGAACTCAAGAGTGCATGCTGGCGGGGTTACCCCATCTTCCCTGTGAGGGTCTGAGGTCCTGAGAAACCAGGAGGCTTTCCCAAGGTCATGCTGCAGAGGCCTTCCAGCTGACTGGTCCAGGCAGCTTAGCTGACCTGGAAGGGGTGCGGGGAGTTCAATGCCAGGGAGAGACCCGCCCGCCTCCACCCCTCAAGAATGAGAGGCCATTTTCTGGATTCAGGGTAGAGGTGATGGTGGCTTGGGCAAGGAAGGGCAGCTGGAATGGAAATAAGGGAACAGAACCTAAAAACACAGGGAAAATGGGAAAGGAAATTCTCCTTGGCCCACCTGGCGGGGGGGGGGGGGGGGGGGGGGGGGGGGAAAAGGAAAAAGGGGAGAGGGGGGGGGGGAGGAAAAAAAAGAGGGAAAAGCGGGGGGCACCGGGGGGGGAAAAAAAAATGGGGGGGGGGCGGGGGGGGGGGGGGGGGGGGGGAACGGCAGGAAGGAAATGTCAAAAGGGAACAGGAGAGGGAGGAAGAAAACAAAGGCAAGACCTGGTTCACCGCACAGCTTTAAATCAGAAGCTGGGAAATGTGGAGAAGCTTACAAAGGAGCTACGTATTTTTTTTTTTTTTTCTCAGCCAAGCCTCTGCGGTGCCCATTTGTTAGGGCAGGGTGGGGGTGAGGAGATATGGGGGGAGGTTGAGGACAGTGAAGGCAATGCATTGCCCTGGGATGAGAACATCCAGCTATTCCTCAAGGTCAAAGCCATCTCCTACCACCATCTCTAGGAAGCCCACCTAGAGATCTGCCTCCACTGATCTCGCCCTTGTCTGAGAGCCACCAGCCCCAGAAAAGGAGACCCGCCCTCCTGCTGGGGTCGTTTTGGGTCCCGTTCTGCTCACTGTGAGTTTCAAATCTTGCTGGAAACATGAGACATGTCCAGGGGTCCCTGCATCTCCCTCCTCGGGAGGGCACGGACCTGGACACAGGCTGAATGGGAAAGGGGACACAGGACCTATTTGGTGAGCTGAAGGGACATGATGTCATTTCATGTTCGTGAATGTTATCTCCAGGTGTCCATAGAGCAGATTTACCACACAGACACAGAGAAGGCCTGTCTGGGTGGGGTGCTGAGGCCAAGCAGGGAGCCTCTCCTGGCACTGACCCACTAAACAGATGGGCACTCCGAGCTCCGGGCAGAGTGCAGGGAAGCATCCAAGGCTCCCTAGGGCAGCTCGGGCTCCCAGGACCAAGGCCTCCCTCCCTTCAAATGTTAAACCACTTTTCTTCTCTAACCTTCCGGCCTAGAGTTTGGCAAACACTTCGAGCAGGTCAGACCCAGCCTGTCACCTACTTCTGGCCAGCCAGTGAGCTAAGAATCATTTCTACATTTTTAAATGGTCAGAAAAAAATTAAAATACTCATGTTTCATGCCACATAAAAACTATATGAAATTCAAACGGCAGTGTCCCTAAGCAGTTTATCAGAACTAGGTGTGCTCACTTGTTTTCGTATCATCTATGGTTCTTTCCCACCAGGACAGCAGAACGGAGAAGCTGCCACAGGCAGAACAGCCCGCAAAGCTCAAGTGTTTACTACCTAGCCCTTTACAGAGAAAGTACGTCAGCCCTCCATCGAATCTCATGCCACGCATGCACTTCCTCCGTGCAAGTCCGTGTGCCTCTAGACTTTCATTACAGGAGACTTCCACAGTCTCCCTCAGGCAAGTGTCTGAGTCCCCAGGTGTGCCCAGATCTAGGTGAGACAGTGTGTCCCAAGGTCCCTATGTCTTTCTGCTGTTGCGATCCCACCCCAGCTCTCTGGCAGGTGTCGTTGGAAACCTCCATGCCTTCTCGGCAGTGTGTCACTCCCTCTTTGTGTGTCACTGTGGGGGTGGCTGTCACCATGTGCCTCTGACAGCATCCAGGGCTCAGTACAAATGTCGCCGCTGAGGAGTTTCCAAGCCTGTATGTTGCCACGCATCTGGACCACTAGGCCCAGCACGTTCAGTCTCCGGACTCAGATTCCTCTGTTCAGGGGCTGCTAAGGTTTCCAGGGCCTTTAGCCCTAGCAGTGTAGAAAGCCCCCAGGCAGCCCTGTTTGGGATATCAGACCTCTGCTCACACACCTCCCGAGACAGGAAACCCACTGTCACTCCCAGTGTGGGCTCTACCCTGGGTGGCTCTCAGGGAGGCGAGGCCTTCCTGGCACTGAGCGCAGCTCCTGCTCTGTGCTTGGCACTCCTCGGTTCTGCCCTCTGGCAGACAGCACAAATGTCCTCCACTGAATCAGCGCCAGCCCTCGGTCAGTGAAGGCTTCGTCCCTGGGAGGCCAGAGGCTGGGACACTCGGTCTGAGGCCACTTCCCCAGGAAGAAAGCCACTCTGTGGCCTGAGCTCTTGTTCTTCCTGGCCTCTTAGCTGTACATACTAATCTGTAAATACCCATTTTGTGTGTTTGGTTTGTCAACACGAGTTGAGAGAGTGTCCCAATGCAGAGGCATGGTAGGGAGAGGTGACCACATTAAAAAAAGGGGGGGGCAAAGTATTTCTCCAATCAACCCCCTGTCACCCTGAGCTTTACACCAAAGGGGACTTCCATGGAGGCTCGAGCCTGATTAGCCCTCAGTATGCAGGGAAGGGTCCCTTGAGAGGCTCCCCACAGACACCTATCCTCATTGCGCACAGGGCCAAACAGACCAGAGGGAGCCTGGCCCAGATACAGACCCACCAATGAATCATCCACAGAGGAAGGGACCGGGTCCACATCCCTGGTAACCCCATACACCTGTTGATGGATTAGCTGGAAGATTTGGCCCCAGGCCCACCCTAGTATGTTCTGTCTCTGAGCTGTTGTTTCAACAGTGGTTTGTATCCAGACAGGCCCCTCTGCTTGCCCTCCCCAAGGTCAGTGGGGAACAGGAGCCCCAGATTCAGCAGGGCATGGGGGGGTGGGCTCTGCCTAGCCCACCTGCAGCCAGCACCAAACTGAGATTGGGGCCTCCTGAGAAAATCTGGGTGCTGCTGCTCCCCACCCCCCCAAGCTCATAGTTTTTCACCCCCTTCATTAGTTCACATCCACTCAAAAGCCTCTAGCCCAACCTGATGCTTGTCTCTCTCTGCCCAACAGCAGTCCCAAGGCAAAGACCAACACAAAGACCCTGCGTATTGTCATCCGATTCTCCAGCCACCCTACACACAGGACTGTTCACCAGAAAAGCTAAACGCTGTCTTTCTTTTTTTAAGGGGGTAGGGCATTGCTTTATGGGACACTGTAAGGCAGGGGTAAAGTCAGGGAGACTGCAATAAAAGCATGGAAATGGTCTGGAGAAGTCACAGGGGTCCACCACCCCTCCACCAGCAGCTTCCTAAGGGAGCTTGAACTCCTTCCAGTGGTGAGGTTCCATTCCCCAGCAAAGTGTGAAATGCAATCAGCTTCTGGCCTGGCTCCCTCCTGAGGGGCTAGCTCCATCCGCTGGAGCCCTGGCCCCCTCTTCTGACCTGCTCAAAGCGCCAACGACCGGCCCAGGATGTGGCCCCCACCTCTCGCAGCTGCAGCAGGAGCCTGTGCCTTTAAGGCGGCCGGCAGGGGTCTCAGGCTGGCCCACTTTGGTCCTGCGGGGCCCGAAGCTCTTCTCCGACAGGTCCCCTTAGGCGTTTCCTTCGAAACCACCTAAGCCCTGGCATCAAGACCCCATCCCATATGCTCCGCGAGAAACCAAGAGACGATGCTCTCTTGAACAATCCCGAACATGTCACTAGAGGCGGACATTCTAGGCTGGCCCCTACCCCCACCCACCCAGCACATCGCTTGCCCACCCCTGATACCCCGTGAGGACCGCAGCACCCAGAGACCCCCCAGGATTGCCTTCCCGATCCGCGTAGGCGCGTCCGCCGGCCTTGGGAGTAGGGAGACAAGTCCCTCTGGCCGCAATGCCTTTCCTGCCCCTGGTCCTCCCTCTGGCACGGGGAGGGGCGAGAGATAGCTCCCTGGGGGCTGCAAGGATCGACTGCCCCAAGTCTAGCCCAGATATTGGGGGGGGTGGGGGATGGGGGGAGGGAGTGTTGTCAGACTGTCGCGCAGGAAGGGAGCAGCAGCGGGAGGGGGCTTCATTTCGATTTCGCAGGTTGGCCCGCGCTGGCCCCGGCCCCCTATCCGTCGGTGAAGGACGAGGCTCGCGGGGATCACCGGGCTGGAGGAAGGGGTCCGCTGTCTTCTGGGGTGGGAGGAGGCGGGGGACGAGGGTTCTGGATCGGGAGGGGGAGCGAGGGGGGGGGGCGTGGAGGTGCAGGGGCTGCTGGGCGGCCCTTACCTGCTCACAGCCGGGCCTCGCCGCGGGGCTACGGGCTGCGGGGCGGCCCGGGGCACACTCCGCGGGGAGGGTGCACAGCGGAGAGTCCGCGCCCCGCGCCGCCCGAGGATGGGGAGCGAGTGCGCCGAGGAGCGCGCGCTGAGCCCGCCTCTCCGCGTCCGTGTGTCCGCCGGCGGCCGGTGTCCGCGGTCCTTGCGCGGCGGCGTGTGCGTGTGCGCACGCGGGGACCGCGCTCGCCTGGAGCCGCCACCACCGCCGCCGCCGCCGTCAGTCACCGCCCGGGCCCCCGAGCGCGGCGCCCCCCGCCTGTCCTCTCCCGCCCCGCACCGCGCGCCGCCCAGGCGGTTCTGCCCTGCGGGAGAGGCGCCGCCTCCTCCGCGAAGCCCGGCCTGGGGCGGGAGGGAGGGGACCGACCACCGCCTCCGCCACGCACTTCGCTGAGTTGGGGGCGGGTGTAGACCAATGGGCGCCCGGGGGAGGGGTTAGGCCGGGGGTGTGCGGGGGAGCGGGACCCCGCCCGCCGCGTTCACCAGGCCTGGAGACAGACATCAGCCAGAGCTTTGGCCGAGACCCCTAGGTGGACGGTGCGGAAGCAACGACCCCCTCTATCGCCCGGGCTTCCGCAGCTCAGAGTCCGGTCTTCCCTGGGGCACACTGCCCTCCTTTCCACCCTCCCCAAGATAACTAGTGTGAGAAAGCCCTCTACCTTCTTCCTTCGGAGTCCTCAGGAGTCCCTGTCTGAGATTGTGCTTCCTCCTCCGGGAAGCCTTCCTTACTTACGGGGCAAGTCCAGACTGTGGTTGGGTTACTCTTTGCCGCATAGCCTGGGCCTGGGAAGGGCAGCCAGCTTTGGCCTGGCTGGATGAACTCAAGTATGATCCCCTGGAGAACATCTCTATGGCTAGAAAGGGGCAGGGGGCTTACAACAACTGAACAGTGACGCTGCTCTGGAGTCAGACTGCCTGCGCTCCAGTCCCCGCGGAGTCAGGGCTAGCTCTGAGAGCTTGGGTGAGTGCCTTGACTTCTCTGAGCCTCAGCTTCTTCACCCGTACATGGGAACACCTACCCATCTTGACAGCAGCATTAGGTAAGAATACCAGGTTTTCACTGATTTTATTTACTCATTAATGAATAAATTAATATTGCTACTGTTATTGTAGTCCTACTCCACCTCTTCCTAGTACAGGTGGATAAATGAGGCTCAATGAGGGAAACTGAACTGGTCAAGGTCATGTCGCCAGCCAATAGTGGAGCCAAAGCCTAACTGAAAACAGTTACCCACTCCCAGACAAAGTACTTTACCCCTGCCCACTCACAGGGTCCCAAACCCCTCCCCCACTCCTCCTCACCCCAGGCTCCTGCCTGCCCCTGCTCTGGTCACACCCCAGGCCTGAGCAACCCAAGAGCTCTCTCCACACCCCCATCCATAGTCCTGCAACCAGGCTGACCTTTCTCAGTAAGTTATTGTCCAGCCTCCCCTGGGCCAAACCTTGGGTGTGGCCGCCTTGTTAAGGAAGCCTCAAGGAGAGAGGAGGAGGAGGAGGAAGAGATGAGTCTTTCCTTGGGGATTCCAGTCCAATCGAGGAGAAGAGGAATCCATAATGGAGACTTATAGGAAGTAGCTGAGGCCCCAGAAAGAGGCAAGGAGCTCCCAGACTCTCTTTCCTTCCAGTCCAGGAAACCTTCCTGGAGGAAGAGAATGCCAGTCCTTCTCTGTGTCAATAAAGAGTGAGACCTCCCTAGAGAGAAGAGGGCCAGGTGCTGTGTCAGAGTTTGACAGATGGACAGACAGACAGGACCTCCCCTTCTGGACCTGGCTACCCTCCTGCCTAGCTCATTGCCCCAACCCCTGGGAGCCTCCTTTCTTTGCTGTGAAGATCAAATGAGATGCTGTGTATGAAGGTGCTCTGTAAACTGAAATGTCAGCCGAGGGAAGGAAAGGCTGCCTGGAGTCTCCGAGTCAGGAGGGAAGCAGGAAGTTCAAGATGCCGGGGACCTGGGAGTGTGGGGAAGGGGGGAAATCAAGAGTAACCTACAGCAGGCCAGCTCAGCCTGGAAATGTCAATGGCCAGGGTCCCAGAAAAGGTCCCTTTGTCTCTGAGCTTCTTCATTCTGTTCTAGGTTTATTCCCTTTTCTATACCGAGTGCTCTAGGTCCCACTCAAGGTTCTGTATCCCCTGTTGTCTCTTCTGTGTCCCCACATGTATGTCTTCTTGTGGACAGTGAGCACTTTTGTTAATTGGTCCTGGAGGAGGGACCTCTCCAATTCTCTCCAAAGTGCTGTAGGGACCGGCCAGCCTTGCAGATGGACTTTAATCCCAGCCTTACTAAGGATCATCAGCCTGGATGAGGCATGGAGGTCACCAACAGAGTTCAGATTCAGGAAGGTTGTCCAGTCCCCTTCCCTGTGAATGAAGTGCCTGAGGCCAGAGGGACAAGAGTCCTAGGATGAGGACACACAGGCAACTTTTCCATCAGACTGGGGACCACAGCCTGTGTCCCGGTGTTCACCTCAGTGGTGTTCTACCTGGTGGGTGGCCTCCATGATGGTGGGGGCCCAGGCTGGGCTTTCACGGTCCTCACTCTTCTAAGCTCGTTGGGGCAGAGGCTCTGGTCTCTCCCAGCAAACATGGTTCTCCTTGAGCAGCAGCTAGGCCAATTGTTTCCCCAGATGACAACTCCCCAAGGACAGAGCCAGAGTCTCCCCCCTTCTTCTGAGGCAGCCAGCCCATTCTCACCCTACCTGCCAGGCTTTGGGAAGATTGGAGGCTGAGGACCCACCCTTGGGAATGGTCTCCTCCCAAAGGACCCCTTGAGTTGCCTTGTCTCTCCTCCAGAGGGAGGCTGGGGGGGTCTTCCCACAGCCTTTTCCCTATCCTGAGGGGCTCACTGCCTTAGCTCCCTTCCACATGCCAGCCAGCCAGGCGGGCGGTGGCTGAAAAATACGGCTTTTAATTGAATTTTCTGAGACATGCCTGAGGGAGATGGATGCCAGGCTGCCCTACCCAGCATTCATCTCTCCTGAGCAGCAGTGCCCTCCATGACTCCTGACCCCCCAGCCCAGCCCAGCCCGCCCTTCTGCTGCCTCTCAGTCAGGGAGAACAGCACGTCGGAGGACACAGTGGCATTTTCATTACAGGGAGCTGACATGTGCCAAACACTCACCTTGCCTTGGGCCAGTGTTTCTCAGCTCTCCTGGTGCTCCTGAATCCCTGGGGAGCGTTAAAAATATACCCATGCCCCGGCTTCACCACCCAAAGTCACTAGAGGGTTGGTATTTTAAAGCTCATTCTAATGTACAGCTAAGGTTCACAACCACTGTCACAGGCCCTCTGCTAAACACTTTACATACAAGCATCCCAAGGTGGCATGCTTGTGTGTCTGGCACTGGTTAACGTGTGTCCTGCGATACTGTCCCTCGGCCTGCCAGGCAGCCCAGAAGTATATACATGGTTTTGTTTTCTATGTGCTCTAAGACACGAAAAGGATGGGGAATAACTGTCTTACATTAATTAACCCAATTAACTCATATTTGGGGAATGGGCCCTGAATGCCAGGCCCTAGAGTCCATGTTTCTTTTTGTGGAGGAGAAAATACTGATCCTGGGTCCATCCTCACTCAGGCCAGTGGGAACCAATAGACTAGATTACACAGGCTGGGGGAAAGCTTGATTCCGAAGGCCCTCTGATCACTCCTGCACCTGTGCAGGACCAAGACGGCCCCAGGGGCACCAGGGAATGCCCGCGGGAAGGCCTGGAAGCACAGCAGGCAACGCAGCAGGGAAGTTCTGGAATGTTTGGCCCCCTGTAGTGTTTGGAAGCCAAGCCCGTTGCCCCATAAATGTCCCCTCTCCCACAGATACACAGGCTCTGGGGACACTGCAGGCATTAGGGCTCGGGCTCCTCTGAGATGGAGCCATTCCATGAGCAGACCCCGCAGGTCAGGTACACTCTGACCCCTGCCCTCCCATCTGAGGTCAGCATCTTCATCTGATGAGCCAGTTCCATCAGGAACCTTTTCAGTTACCCTCTGGACACTAGGTCCTTAGGACCCTGGGGGTTCTCTGAGAAGCCAAAGCAATGAACGTTAAGGCTGCTTAGATCCATGGTTTTCACACCAGGCTCCAGGAGCTGTGGAAATCCTGCCTCACCGCAAGCCTGGAGTACAAGAGGAAAGGAGACCCATCTTCAGAGCTAAGCAGTCCAGAGTCCTCTCTGTCCTGCCCCCCACAGGGCATGGCAGGGGATAAGGATGAGCAAGGGGAGGACTGTCTGGAGTAGGGGGGAGGTGGGACCAGGGAACCAGAGATTTGGAGCCCTGAATTCTAAGTGCCGATGTGAACAGTTAGCAATCCATTTCACAGACAGAGCAAATGAGGTTCAGGGAGCAGAAACGACTGGCTTAAGGTGACAAGGCTAGCTAGTGGCAGAGTTGGGCCACAAACCAGATCTCTGAAATTTCAATACTGGGCTCTCTCCGCTCAAGCATGATAACTCTTAGAAAGGGAAGTGGAAAATGTGGGTGTGTGGGAAGGCCAGTGGCCAAAGAAGTAATCTCTTAAAGCTCAGAGTAAAAGTGAGAGATATAGTCTCCTTCCCCCATGTTCACAAATACTCAAATGTATTTGTGCTCAGATGTGCAGACTCCTGAATACACATACTTGTGACACGTAAGTGTACTTTGCACACATACACATGTGCATTTCCATCCAATCTCTGCCCAGAAGGGCAGTCACATAGGGTCCAAGCATGCACACACGCACACACGAGGGACCCAGCCATAGACATGTGGTATCAAAGTACATCTTCTCTACCAAGGTAGACATGCTTTCTCTCCTGCAGAATTGCACGGAGGCAGTGGACCTCTCCGCGGGGGGAGGCCACGGGGGAGGCCTCCGAGAGGAGGCCTCTCCGCTGTCAGACAGTGACATTTCTCACTCACTTCCAAAGCCCCCTCCCCTAGGAACTCAGCTGTTCAACCATGGGAGCCAAGTACCCATCAGGGGACGGGATTGAAGGCAAATGCACTGTCCTCATTTCCAGCTCCTCTCTGTCTGCAGGACTTTTCTTTCCTGATCCCTACCCCCATCCCCTCCTCCCTCTTTGGCACACTCTGAAGTTGGTGTGTAGTCCTCTTCTGCTGCAGAAAGGACCCCTCCTGGGCATCCTACAAATGGGCCATATTGTGTGTGTTCAAGAGCCCTGTGGTGCTTGCCCTGCCCTCTGATGGCTAGGGGCTCGGTCACTGCCCTCAGTCTGGCTCTGGCTCCTATGGGGACAGGCACCGCTCCTCTCTGC